AAAGATATAGACAATATAATCACTAACTAGATATGAGGGATCTCTATCAAAACTGGATAAGAGAATATCCACCTTCTAAAGTGTACACGGGACAGGATGTGGTGGCTCACACCTGTAATTCCAGCACTTTGGGAGGCCGAGACAAGCGAATCATTTGAGGTCAGGAGTTTGAGACCATCCTGGCCAACATGATAAAACCCTGTCTCTACTAAAAATACAAAAACTAACCAATATTTACCATGTGGCTACTGCATGCCTCGGGCTGGGTGAGGGGTTAGCCACAGCAACAAAACAGGCAGACTTCCAAGGAGCCACACACGACCACTGGCCCTCCCTCTCTCCTGAGTAGCTCACAAGAATGAAAGAACATGTGGAGAAAACTGCAAGAATGCAACAAGCAAAAGGCCAGTCTTGTAACAGCTTATCATTTGATACCAAGCTGTAACAACCTAAAATCAGAAAACTAAACAATTACAATAAAGTTATATAGCTCTGTGCAACTGAATAAGCATTCCGACACCTCATTCAATCCTTAACAACCGTGAAAAGTAGATTCTGTCCCCCTGCCCTCTGAAAATCAAAAAAAAAACAAGTTCTGAGTATGATTTTCTTGACTGTGGTCACCAAACTAGTAAATGAGAGAATTCGTGCCTCCACCTGGTCTTCCAATGCATAATAATATAATTATATCTCTTATGTATATTATATAATTTATACAAATTTTATACTCTACTTTATAAAAAATAGATTTATATATTTATGAGATACACAAATACATGTATATATCTCTTACACTGTATCACCTGTCTCTATAAGTAAACCTGAACCTAATAATTTTTTAAGAAGTTCAATCTGCATTTGAACAATTGTAACCGAGGAAAACTTAAATGCTTCACCTGTGTTATCACATGGCTCCACCACATTTTGGCAAAACTTAAAAGCAATCTTTCTTGACATAAAAATCAATGAAGAATACTGATAATTTACAATCTGCAATGCTTAAGAAATATTCCCAATTTTCACAAAGAGCTAATAAATTATAGATTCATAAATATTTCAAGATAACCTGATGGGGCCCTTCGTTAAATTTACATTGACATTGCCAGGTTTATAGCTTTTGTGAAAACTCTGAGAATAAAGAACACTGAAAGGCAAAGGAAGACAGGATTAACCATGAAGAACATTTTCCACTGTCACTCATTTTTTTTTTTTTTTTGAGACAGAGTCTCGCTCAGTGGCCCAGGTTGGAGCACAGTGACACAATCTCGGCTCACTGCAAGCTCCTCCCAGGTTCAAGTGATTCTCCTGCCTCAGCCTCCCAAGTAGCTGGGATTACAGGCATCTGCCACCACGCCAGGCTAATTTTTGTATTTTTAATAGAGACAGGGTTTCACCATGTTGATCAGGCTAGTCCAAACTCCTGACCTCAAGTGATCCACCCGCCTCGGCCTCCCAAAGTGCTGGGATTACAGGTAGGAGCCACTGCACGCAGCCTCTGCTGTCATATTTAAGCACTTTCTCTTATGCACATTGTGCAGGTTATTCCCAAGTGAATCCCCTAGCAACAAGATGGAGGGGAGAGTGTTATAAGAGGCTTTCCCAATTCAAAACACTCTTACTGTCAGACTCAGGCCGATCTAAAATCATCCTAGCAGTTCACTAACATTGTAAGCTGGAATTTGAAATTAAGTACAAAATTCCATAGGTCATCCCTGGCAACAAGCTAAAGGACAACACAACTCTTCTGGGGGTAGTCTACTGCATGCGCTATACCACAACCTTCAGAAGAAGGTTTAATTCCACAACTACAGAAACACAGCTCTGTTTAAACTGGAAATTAAGCAGAAACACAAACTACCACAGCAATGACTTCCTGCGACATTTGCATCCCTCATCAGCTCTTTTCCTGGGGAGGAAGGTTGGGGGTCAGGAAGGAATATTGTATACCTTCCTTATCAAGCAGATAAGGCAGAGGATTTGTGCCTTACACAGAGAAGAAATATTTGACTAGCACGTTCTCAAAAATATAGATGCATATTTTCATCTAATTTTACTGAAAGCAACAACAAAAAAAGCTAGAGAATACTACTAAGAACACAGTATTGCCACAAAACCAGTGTGAGTGGTAAACACTAGAGAACTCATGACAGGCTTCACTCTGCAGAAAGAACACTCATAATGTCTGTGCTGTGGAATACCTGCAGTATGCCAAGCACCTTTTAATGACCACAACCCCAAAACAAGTAAAGCACTAGCTAGTCAGCTCTTAAATACATGAGCTCTGGTGATAATCAAGTCAGTATGTGTGTTTTATTAATTTTGTGTTATGTTAATTCAGGAGATGGATTGCCCTGCGTTTAAACAACGGATTACAGGTAGACCTTTAGGAATGAAAATGGGGACGTTCTATACCTAAGAGGGCAGGGGCAGGGTGGAGTAACATATATTCCAGTCTAGAAAGGTGATCATAGCTGCTATCTATAAGGTAGGATTCTAAACATCTAAAACTGATACAGAATCTTAATTTTCCTACTGTCACAGAGATACTACGTCTGTTGTCTGCCTTCAATAATTATATATTACTAAACTCATAAAACTCTACTCTTCTTCCTGAAGAAGCAGCTTTCGTGGAGCAAGTATTACTGGAAATAATCTTCAAAGTACAAATCACACTTGCATGGTACATTAATGATTAAAGCTCTTTCACATATTTTATTTCATTAAAAAGATCAGTGATGGAGTCTGAAAAGTCTTTTGGCTCTGAAATTCTGGAAAAGTCCTCTGTCTAGCCTACTGCTTCTTTGATAAATAACTGGAGCTGACAATTTTGATGAATATGCTAATTAACATCTCATAGTCACTGTCTGCAACATCCGTGGTTCTAAATGTTTTACAAACATAAACTCACTGAACCCCCATAAATTTTGAGATATACTATTATTGCCTCCATTTTTTTATCCACTAGAAACATGCACAGAGAGGCTAAGTAACATGCTGTAGGTCCCAAAGCTAGATAAACTGACTTGTTGGACCCAGGTAAGAAGTAAGATGCACTAACTTTTGTGTAAACTGAGTGTGAATGGTGACGATGGGTCTTCCTGTGCGTCCTGTCGAAAACACGGGTAGCAACAGTTAAAGGGAGATGTTTCTTTAAAAACAAAGGCTTTTCAAAATCCTTTAAGGATTATAAGCTCAAGATTTGGCCTAGTTTCCTAAAAACATTGAAAATCTCTTTCCCAAAAGAATGTTCTTCAGACACAAGCACCAAAAGCACTTCCTGAGGTGAAATACACTGTAACATTAAAATAACCTCCTGGCACGAGGTACTATGACATCAAATTTTATCAGAGAGAATTTTAAATGTTTTGTGAATCAAAACATTTAAAAGCAGTTAGTGTGGCGCTAGCACTTGACAGTAGTCCTAACTTTTAAATGCGAAACAAAACATAATTCACACCTGTATCTCCTACACATCACATGAGAAATTTAAAAACCAGCTATGATAAATGTCCTCTAAAGTTCTTGAGGACAGGGATCCTTATCTTCCTGCATCTTTGCCGCCCTTTATACATTACTGCAGTTATGTGGACTGCATGAAATTGTCCTTAAGCATTTCCTAAAGATGTATCAATAGTGGTAAAGTATTATAATTTATAACCAAAAGAATAAGGTTATCAAAACAACCTAAGAGCCCATTATGTGTGTCTTCTGAAATAAGAGTCTGCACTGAAGCTGTCCAGAAATAAAAGTGTCTAATCATGCAATGGGTTAAGTATCTGCTCCTGGTAACAGCAAAGGATCTTTCATTTTCAAAAGTAAAAAACTAAACAGACACACACGAAATTTCTGCCTTTCTCTTCCGAAACAGCTGAATCATTCACGTATTCAACAGCCCAGAATTCTTCCGGGCTGTCAGTGCGGGCTCTGCCTTTTGAGAGGCTGGAATTTAAAATCCTCCTTAGGAGAGCACGGAAGAATTACCGGAAATTAACGGGATTCCCAAAGGGCGCTGACTGAAACCGGAGCCGCGTCACGGTTAATCAAACAGGAGGCCCTGGCTATCAATCAATCTCTGGCGAAGGAAAAATACTATGCTAAGAAAATGTAATCGTTTATCATTCAAGTATTTACTGAAGGTGTACTCCAGGCAAGGCCCCTGGCGAGAGGCCAACAGCACGCCAACTCTGGAACTGGGCGCCAGGCCGCCCCCTCCAGGGACGCCCCCAGATGCGCGTTCCCAGCGGCAGGGCGCAGTCCCCGTGCGGACCCCTCCGGCTCCTCCCTGGCGCGCCTCACCCGGACCGTTCTCCGGAGCGATGCGGGCTTCAACGTGGCGAAATGCACCAATCCGACTCGCCACGCACGGAGAAGGGGGCCCCACGCGCGCCCCGGGCAGCCGCGCCCGCGGGGCTCAGGGTGACGCTGACCTGCGAGGTCATGGGACCTCCGCACCAACCCAGGCCAAGGCGAGGGGGGATCCAGGGTCTCCAAAGGGCTCATGGCGCTGACAGCTCCCCAGGGTGTTCTAAGGGCTTTATGGGGCGCTTGGGGGTTCTGGGGGGTCCTACGGATTCTCTGAAAGGCGCGTGGGGGCTGAGGGGCCTCCTGGGACTCTCGGGATCCCAAGGGGGCGTGTTAGGAGATCTGGAGGGAGCCTAGGGGCTGAGGAACCCTGGGGAGTTCTGCCGGCCCTAGAGGGTCTCTAAAGTGCGCGTGGGGTCTAAGCGCCCCTGGGAGGATGCGGGGTTTCCAGGGATCCTGAGGGGCCCTGTGGAGGTCCCTGGAGGGTGCGTGCGGACTGCGGGCCCCAAGGCGTCCTAGGGGTTCCAGGGGGCGCTGGGGGGCCCTACAGGATTTCTGGAGGGCGCCTGCAGGCTGAGGGCCCCTAGGCGTGGTCGAGGGCGCCAGAAGCTGCGTGGGGAACTCGGGAAGTCAGCCTGAAGGGGAGGGGGCCAAGTACAGAGACCCCCCCCCTAGGGCACGCACGATCTGGCGCTCACCCAAACAGCCCTCGGAGGAAGGAGTGGGAGGCCTTGACTCGCTTCTCGGCCTCTGCCATCAGCTGCACCGCCTCACGCTCCTTCCCCGCGTTGTCCATGTCGCCCGCAGCGGCCGCCACAACCCGCTCAGCCGGCTTGCTACGCGCCCGGGGCGCCTCTGCCCACCTTCTGGCGGCCGCAGGGGAGCAGGCGCAGGCGCGACGCGCGAGTCCTGTCGGGAGTTGTAGTCCTGACCTGTCATGGCGGCGGGGATGCGTAAGCCGCCTACTACAGTTCCCAGGACGCCGCGGGTCGGGAAGTCTGTGAGCCGAGCTAGCACACCGCCAGCTCCCGGGGCTTCCGCGCAGGGGGCGTGACCCGCCGGAGGAGTCCTGGGCCAAGGTGAACTTTAATCTTTTTTGTATGCGGAAATGGAAAATGATCGGTGGCGTCAAGTAAAGACCATCTAATCAGTAAGACACACATGGCAATGGTGTGGATGAAGGAACAGGGGTAACAGATTGGGTGGAACCCACACCTACATGCAAGTTCTGCAAAAGAGGATCGGGTGTAGCCACCGAAAGCATCGCTTGCTTGATACCGCCCACCAGAAAACGAGCAACAGCTGGCAACAAGAGCCATTTTTATCTCCAAGAGCAAGACGTTCCCAATGTAAGTTCAGTTATTTTTAAATCTCCCCAAACCGCAACTTTATGTTGGTCCTCTCTTCCTTGGTTATAAATGAGTTGCACATAGGCGGTATGTGCATAATCCACTCTTTTTGTTGGCTGAATTATTTTCAATGGATGTGAGCCATTGAACTCTTATCCTTTACATAATGCTGGCCATGGTGGATGGATCTCCAGGGACAACATTTTTGCCTGCCAGGAAGACTTCTAATCTCCTAGGAGAAGTATCCATAGACAGATGGAATCCCGTGCCAGAGACTTTCAGGCCTGTACCAGAGGGAGTTATTTTTGAATACAATGTCTAGACCATTCGGGTTTGGCAGTGCTAAGGCAGACATGCTGAACCTAATAAGAAAATCACTGCCAAGTGAGATTTATGACAGTTTCACACTATTAATAAATACACTGTGGGCACTGGAAAGCCAAATGTTTAAAAGTGAAGGCTGTCTGTAGAGAGCAAGGCAAGAGGGGCCAAACTCTTAGAAAGAAAGTTTACTAAAGCACATGTCACTGAGTTCACACATTGCAGGTCTCTGTAAAGAGAAATCTCAGCTCTTCATGCAGTTTATTTGCGATTACTACATGCATTATTCTAACTTTGAAAAGCTGATCTGTGCACTTTTGAAGAAAGAAAGAGGCAGGAAATTGGAGGTGGCCGTAAATGCAGGAGAGACCAGAGAAAACCTGTAAAAAGTGAACATAAGCATTTGGAAAGCAGCGCAGTCTATGGGGGATTTAACGGAGTGAGGCTAACCCAAAGGCTCCTGAGTAAATCAGTGTGCTGATTATACCAATTACCAAATGTGGTTCAGTGCAGAAGCGCTAAGGGGTATTTAAGAAATACCGATTACTAGGCCACTACTGGGTTTTGGTATCAAGATCTGTAGCAGCTGGGATCTAGAAAATGCACATTTTGAAAAGAACTCTCCACCCCTATTCTAAAGCACACAGTTCTACATTCTCAAATCTGCTCAAGGTCAGTTGAAGAGGAGCTGAAATGGACTCCCTCCTCAAAACTAGTACTTGCAATTAAGAGTGACATTTTTGGTGGTTTCTGGTAATTTCCTTCATTCTCTTTTTTCTCACAGAAAATTTGTGGGCTCTCCCACCATTCCGGCAGTCCACACCAAAGCAGGAGAAAATGTTCAAACCTTAATTATTGTGTAGAGCGAGTGTTTTCTTCTCTCAGAGACTGGGAGAGGAAAGGAGGCAGGGCAGAGAGATGACCTCACAGAATATGGCCTGACTAGAGGGACAGCTGAGAAATCCTGAAGCAAGAGGGAAAAGAACAGAAGCACCCCTGGTGTGGATCAGAAGACGAGGAACCGTCTTAGAGAAGGGCCGAAGGACCCACTGCCCACACCTGCGCTGTCCAGGGTGGGGCCGCTCACCACTGGTGGCCATTTACATTCAAATTAAATCATATTAAATAAAATGTAAAGTTCAATTTCTTGGCTATACTAGCCACATTTCACATGCCCAATAGCCACACATAGCCAGTGGCTACTGAAAGAGCTGAAAATACACCACCCTGTGGATTGACTAAGTTAGACACCTGAGGGGCCAGCAAGGTAGCTCACACCTGTAATCCCAGCACTTTGGGAGGCTGAGGTGGGCGGATCACTTGAGGTGTGGAGTTGAAGACCAGCCTGGTCAACATGGTGAAACCCCATCTCCACTAAAAATCTGAAAATTAGCTGGGTGTGGTGGTGCATGCCTGTAATCCCAGCTACTCAGGAGGCTGAGGCAGGAGAATCACTTAAACCTGGGAGGTGGAATGGAAGTTGCAGTGAGCCGAGATCACGCCATTACACTCTAGCCTGGGCAACAATGTGTGAGACTCGGTCTCAAAGCCGAGATCACGTCACTGCATTCCAGCCTGGGCAACAGGGTGTGTGAGACTCCGTCTCAAAGCCGAGATCACACCACTGCACTCCAGCCTGGGCAACAGGGTGTGTGAGACTCCGTCTCAAAAAAAAAAGTTAGACACCTGGAAAATGGCAAGTGCAAGAAGATCACTCTGACCTTTTCTTTTTTTGCCTACAGAATACACGCTGGATAGATACTTCGGCCTCTTGTTTCTTAAAAGCAAGAGATGAAATTCCCATATGAAAGATGTCCTTCCTATACTAGAAATAAAGAACATTCTTATCACCAAAGACAGGAAATTGAGGCCAAGCGAATTCTGTAAAAACAAACCCTGTTAAACTAACCCTTATCTTCCTAGTCATTTCTCTATCCGGTTAACTACCCTAGCCCAAGCCCCTCTGCCTCATCGCATTTTCAGTTTACTCTTCTCTGTCCAATTCAGTAAAAAGTAACACACTCTAACTGCTTCTTGGGGTTTTTATTTCCTTATGAGAACTTCCACGCCACGTAAACTTTTATCAAATACATCTGCGTGCTTTTTTGCTGTTTGTCTTGTATCAGTTTAATTCTCAACCCCACCAGGAGCCTAGGTGGATGGAACATAGGATGCCCCCTACACTAACATACTGGACTGCGCAGACAGAGAACATTTTTATCTTTGCACAAGTCCTAGTGGACGGCACTAGCCTCTATGTGCCTTGCATTTCAGCAGCTCTGGACACGTGTAAGAAAAGAGAAAAAAAGGCTTTAGGGTATTTCTGAGAAGGCAGAGCAGGAAAGGACCCCGTAGCCTGAACAAGGCAGAGCCAACAGTACTGCTGGCTTTTCCCTATGAGCACCTGGATGTTCAGAATGAATCAACACACACCCCGAAAGATGGTCTATCAAGACAGGGCTGAAGCTACTTGAGAACCCCAACTCTGGCCAGGTGCAGTGGCTCACGCCTGTAATCCCAACACTTTGGGAGGCTGAGGCAAGCAGATCACCTGGGGTTGGAAGTTCAAGGCCAGCCTGACCAACATGGAGGTTGGTCTCTATTGAAAATACAAAATTAGGCCGGGCGCGGTGGCTCACGCCTATAATCCCAGCACTTTGGGAGGCTGAGGCGGGTGGATCACGAGGTCAAGAGATCGAGACCATCCTGGTCAACAAGGTGAAACCCTTTTTAGTATCTCTACTAAAAATACAAAATTTAGCTGGGCACGGTGGCGCGTGCCTGTAATCTCAGCTGCTCAGGAGGCTGAGACAGGAGAATTACCTGAACCCAGGAGGCAGAGGTTGTGGTGAGCCGAGATCGAACCATTGCACTCCAGCCTGGGTAACAAGAGCGAAACTCCATCTCAAAAAAAAAAAAAAGAAAATACAAAATTAGCCAGGCGTTGTTGCGGGCTCCTGTAATCCCAGCTACTCAGGAGACTGAGGTGGGAGAGTCGCTTGAACTCCAGAGGTGGAGGCTGCAGTTAGCCGAGATGGCACCATTGCACTCCAGCCTGGGCAACAAGAGCAAAACTCAGTCTCTAAAAAGAAAGAAAAAGAAAAAAGAACTCCAACTCTAAGAAAGCCAGAGTCAGAAAACAACAGAATTGATATGGGAAAAGGGTGTAGCCATCTGCATGTGCTCGCAGAAGGGGAGCAAGCATCAGGCAAAGATCCAGTATGGAATGTTACAGGGCATGACTGCGGGTTCACTGATGCAAAGCAAGAAGCTCGCCCCATTAAAGGGGAGGGAAATGAGGTGCCACCTCCTGATGGGAAGGCCTCCAAGGATTTGCCGATGTTTGCAAACCACAACAGTTAGGTCAGAGGGAGTCCGTGTTTAGCCTGGTCTACTCTGATTGCACTGACAAAGCTGGGAAGCTGGAGCCCCCAGGCTGGGGTTAGGGGACAGCCCTCACCTCACATGGCCCTGCTGTCCCAAGGGTCCCTGCCCGGGTCTGCAGTGGTCTCCTCTGATGACATCTCAGATTTGGTTCTTCCTGAAATGCTAAGCATGGCTCAGTCATCGAACAAGGTCAAACCACCTAAAGCAGTGTTGTGCCTCAGAAGGCAGGGAAGGACGAAGTCCATTTGCCAGGCTCTTCACCCCAAATCGTTAAAGGAATGCATTAATGAAGATAAGTCCTCCGTCCGTGTGGAACGTTGTGCAGTCCTAAGGATAGAATTCAATTGTTCTATTGACAGTAATTCTTCTCATTTTTCTCATAGACTAACAAAACCCAAGAACATTTGAATGACGGATTTCAGAAAAATAATTAAATAGCTGTCTTTTATTAATCTTTAAAAATTTTTTCAAAACAACATCAGTTTATGTGTATATGCGCAGATGTATGCGGTGACATTTCTCACGATGTCAAAATTGTTACGAGTTGCCCCAACTCTAACTTTATTAATCTTACTTAACATTTCCTTAAAAAATTACTCTATAAAATTCAGACCAAAAAGTTAGAAAAGGTAAAATTAAATATACACAAATATCTGTTAGGGGAAACAAAAAGAAGGGTAAATTAAGTTAAAATAAATCCTTATGAGAAAATACTTACTGTCATTAGTAAGTGTTCTTCTTCTTCCTTTTTCTTTTCTTTTCTTTCCTTTTTTTTCTGAGGCACGGTCTCACTCTGCTGCCCAAGCTGATGTGTGCAATCACAGTTCACTGCAGCCCAAATCTCCTGGGCCTAAGTGGTCCTCCCACCTCAGCCTCCTGAGTAGCTGGGACTACAGGCATGAACCACCGCACCCAGCTATTTTTTTTTTTAACTTTTATCTTTAGTAGAGACAAGATTGCTGTGATGCCCAGGCTGGTCCCAAACTCCTGAGCTCAAGCAATCTTTCAATCTCAGCCTCCCAAAGTGCTGGGAGTATGGGCATGAGCCACTGCGCCCTACTAAATATTATTTTTATTAGTTGATATGAAAGTCTACAAAAAAATTTTGAAATTAACTTGATGCCATTATTAAGGGCAAATGGGCATAAGATCATATTGACAAGTTTTATTTATATTATATATTCTAGGACCTTTCTTATCTATGCTTAATATAAGTTATTGTTGTGAGCCTGACACGATTGCTTAAGGGGACAAATGGTTTATTTCCCACATAATCTTTGAATTCCTAGAAGAAATTTTAGGGGAAAAAACGATGCTCATAATTCTACCTACCCAATGAAACATTTATAATTTTTTATACATATGTATTCCTATCTCATTTTTATCCAAGTAACTTATATACGCATGTATTATTAGGATATATGTTTGTAGTTTATATTTTTTGTTTGTTTATAAAACATGTATTTTCTCTGTTGCAGTAAGTGTTTGTAATTAATTGCTAATGGCCAGTAGTTGAATGAATCAAACTTTACAAAACCTGTTCCCACTATGGCATATCTGGTTTGCATCAGCTTTGGCTCTCATGGAAATACCCAGGACTGTTTGGACAGTGAGACCGTTTTCTCATCACTAGATTACACTGTCCCCGGCTTCTCTAGGGTGCAGTGCTAGACTTTCTTCTCAATCAGGTAAGAACTGAGTCTTCACAAATCTACTCTACATGGTAGTAACTAGCCTTAAAAACACAGTCAACCCCTCTTATTCAAGGATTCCATATTTGCAAACTCACCTATTTGCTAAGATTAAGTTGCAATCCTAAAATCAACATTGTGGCATGTTTGCTGTCATTCACAGACACTCTCAGAGTGGGAAAAACGGTTGGTGGCTTGACACATATTTTCCAAGCTGAGGTCAAACACAGCAACACTCTGCCTTCTTGTCCCAGCTGTTCTTTTTTATTTTTTTGAGATGGAGTCTTACTCTGTTTACCTGGCTGGAGTACAGTGGCTCAGTCTCAGCTCACTGCAACCTCCACCTCCCGGGTTCAAACAGTTCTCCTGCCTTAGCCTCCCAAGTAGCCACATACCACCACACCCAGCTAATTTTTGTGTTCTTAGTAGAGATGGGTTTTCTGCATGTTGGCCAGGCCGGACTCAAACTCCTGACTTCAGGTGATCCACTCACCTTGGCCTCCCAAAGTTTCAAAATTACAGGTATGAACCACCACTCCCAGCCTTGTTGCAGCTCTTATACTGTTAACAAGTGTCCTTCTTCACAGCCTGCTTAGTGCCACATTTTCACGTGTGTGTGTGTGTGTGTGTGTGTGTGCGCGCGCGCGCGTGCATGTGTGTTTTAGAGGTGAGGTCTTGCTGTGTTGCCCAGCCTGATCTCAAACTCCTGATCTTACATACCTTTGGCCTTGGCCTCTCCCATCCAAGTACTAACCAGGCCCGACCCTGCTTAGCTTCCGAGATCAGACGAGATCGGGTGCGTTCAGGGTGGTAAGGCCGTAGACTGGCCTTGGCCTCTCGAAGTGCTGGGATTGCAGGAATGAGCCGCCACACACGTCTGAGCTTTGTACTTTTTTGTTGATGATTTTGCCATTTAAAGTGGCCCCAGGCATAGTGTTGCCGTGCTATCTAGTTCCTAAGCACAAGAAAGCTGTGGGGTGCCTTATGGAGAAAGCGTGTCTTCCATAAGCTTCATTCAGGCATTTACAGAGCTGATGGCAGTGAGCTTCATGGTAATGGGTCAACAATGTATATTGAAAAAGACAGCTCTAACAAGAGAAACACATAAAGCAAGTTTATATACTGATGAATTGACAAAGAGTGTTGTAACCAGAGACTCAAGGAAACCAAACCTTGCATTTTTCCTGGGGACCATGGTTTAGCATTTACTACTTCTGTGTTTGCAGAGATCGGTAACTTCTGCAAATGATTGAAACCAGGAGCACACTGGGAGAGTATCTGGATAAACAAATGAAGTCAGATCATAGAATCTCCCTTTCCCCCTCCCTAAAAGAAATGGGCAGAAAGGTCAAAACTAGCAGCTCTTCCAGAGAATTAAGACAGAGGGAAATCATCTTGTACTGGCTGATTTCTGTTTGCCCCCTGGCCCCACTTGCTACCCTTCTGTTATGGTTAATTTTATGTGTCAACTCGACTGGGCCACGGAATGCCCACTAGCTACGAAACATTATTTCTGGATGGGTCTGTGAGGATGTTTCTGGAACAGGTCAGCGTTTGACTCAGTGGACCAAGTAAAGCAAATGGCCCCGTTTGCTGTGAGCGAGACCATCCAGTCCAATCCACTGAGCACCTGAGTGGCAGATGGCTGAATTAGCCCTTCCTAGCTGTTTGAATTGTGACATCAGTCTTCTCCTGCCCTCAGCTCTCTTGGTTATTAAGCGTTCACACTCGGGTTGGAATCTACACCCGTGGCTCTCCAGCTCTCAGGCCGTCAAACTATACCATGGGCTTTCCTTGGTTTCCAGCTTGCAAACAGCAGATGGCAGACTTTGAGCCCTCCATAACTGTACAAGCCAATCCTTTATAATAAATCTCTACATATCTATGTGCTTCTCTGGAGAACCCTGACTAATGCACTTTCTCCATGCTGCTTGCTGCTCCACAACACAGGCTGCTGTGGACTCCATCAGCGGGACTCTTGTGCCCTGTTAACTTCTGCTGGTATTGACAACAAGATGCCTAGGCATGAGGTAGAGGCCAGAGGGGACTGAGAACATAACGTCTGTCCCCTGCTCCCTCCACAAAGTGGCCAGTGGGCACTCAGATTCCTTTTAGATTGTTTGGCTCATCTTTCAGGCTTAGCGTTGCTGGCATGGCCGCTGCTAGCTGCAGACACTTGCCCTGTGCCCTGGGGTTTCCATGCACCGAATAGAAACTGCCCTGAACTCTCCTGTTGCAAGTGTGCCTGTGCTGACTGTGGAGACCCGGACTAATGTGCTCCCCGACTCGTTGTATGAGGCCAGCGCAACCTTGAAACCCAAACCAGGAAAGCACAATATGAGAAAAACAATCACAGGCCAGTTTCACTCATGAAAATAGATACAAAAACTCTGAAGAAAACAGGAGTAAACACACCATGCACAGAGATCTAGGTAAATCATAAACATAGGGGAAAGGCTGAACTTTAAAAATGTCAGAAAAAGTTTTTAAAAGTAGCCTTATGACCTTGCTTTCCTAAATAAGACAAAAAATGCAAACCATAAGGGAGAAAAATCAATGCATTCTTCCATTAAGATTATTTTTCCATCAACATGCCATAAATAAAATGAAAAGACAACCACAGCCCAGAGGATGACATTTGCAAGAAGGATAAAGAAATCCCACAAACCAGTGAAGGCCACCAAACAGAAAAACGGGCAGAAGAGCTGAGCCTGAGACTTCACTGCAGATTTCAGCCAACTCCTGGCCGGCCTGCTTCAGCTTTTGCTGCTCACTGCCTTAGTGGGAAGAGCAAGTGCTCACAGAAAACCAGAAAGTCTCCAGGAGAAGGCGGAAGCAGGAGCGCCGCAGCCTGCGGAATCTGTTTGCTTTTTCTTTGCTTTCATAATGGAAGCTGATGAGCTGGTAAACAGATACTGTGTTGTGGAAAACGTCTGCAGAAAGGAGCCCAAAGACTGGATGAGGAGGATGACCTGCCCACAAGCCCCTTCACCCTGGGTGTCCTTGGCCTCTTGTGACACGCTCCGACTTTCTAAGCCTTGTGAGTTCTCAGGTTTCTGTTTCTGGAAAGAGAAAATGTACCCTGGAACCTTTCGAGCGATGCCAGCTTGGAGCCATCTGTAGCAGTGCCTTGTTTGCTGACAATCTGTGGGCCTGCCGCTGGCCTGCTCCCCAGAACCAGAGGGCACCTCCAGCCAAGGTCAGCCATGTTCTGCTGCTGCTGCCCTGGGGGTGAGGGCTCAGGGCTGCAGTGGGAGCTGCTGCTGGCAGCGTGCACTCTGCTCCCCCAGCCCGCCCTGCAGCCAAGGCTGGGAGAGTCCCGAGGTAGGCACAGACTGCTGACCGTTCCTTCCTGGGCCATCTTTGGAGGGTGCCCGGCAGCAGGAGGGTTGAAAATAGATTTGCTTTCTCCCTGGATTATATCCAGGTCAGTAACTAGCCTAAAACAGGATTATTTAGGGGACAAGGAAGAGCTTGTCAAATAGTGCTACTTGCCAAAAACAAAAACAAACAAAACCTAGAGAGTGGAGAGAAGCGAGCAACGGAGCTCAGCCATGCTATTTACAGAGGTTATTTGCTTCCCCAGAGTGATCAGAAAATTTCAGACAGCAGGTGCAGGCTGATGAAGAGAGTGTCAGAGTGTGGCCCTTTCCCAGCACCAATGCTGTATCTACTGGTGAAGCAGTGATGAAAAGCTGCACCTAGGAAACTCTCTGTCTGTAGCCTCCTCAGCCCACGCAAGCAGAGCCTGCTGGGGTAAAACACATCATGCTCTTCTTGTTTATTTCCTGCTTCTCCCAGGAGCTGGACTGATAGAGAAATCCCAAGCTTGGTCATCAGCAGACAGACCAGGAAGTTGTGCAGCTCATAGAGGGTTCCTGTGGGACATACACCCTCTCGCCCACACTGCATTCAGCCATGGGTTGATCCAACGGGAGTCCCACACTTGCTATCATGCCTGGTCCAGTAGCGGCTTGTTACCAAGTTCAGCTCAAGAGATAGGAGGCCTGGTTTGCTGGACACCTGGAAAAGATACTTCCTCTTTCTTTTTCTTTCTTCTTCTTTTTTTTTTTTCAGATGGGGTCTTACTCTGTTGCAGAGGCTGGAGTGCAGTGGCAGTCACAGCTCACTGCATTCTAGACCTCCCGGGCTCAAGTGATCCTTTCACCTCAGCCTCCAGAGTTGCTAAGACTATAGGCATGCACTGCCTGGCTAATTTTTATGTTTTTTAGTAGAGTCAGGGTTTCACCATTTGGCCAGGCAAGTGTCAAACTCCTGGCCTCATGTGATCTGCCCCCCTTGGCCTCCCAAAGTGTTGGGATGTGAGCCACCACGTATGGCCAAATTGCACATATTTAAAGTGTTCAATTTGATGAGATTTGTCATATATATGCATCTGTGGGATCATCACTACAGTTGATAAAACAGACATATTTATCACCTGAAGTTTTCTCATGCCCTTTTGCAATCCTTCTCTCCTACGCCCCTTATTCCATGGGCATGGGCAGACCCCAATTTCCGCTTAGTCCGTGGTCTAAGCAGAGCTCATTTTTCTCCCTTCTTGCATTGACAAGAACAGGGCTTCTATATGTCACAGCCAGCACTCCTAGTTCACTCTTGCTCCACAGGGATACTCAGGCCCTTCATTTCCCGTATTTCACGGCAGTAACGAGACAACAACCAGGTCCTCTATCTCCCTTTGTTCTGTCGCCGGGGCTGGAGTGCTTGGTGCAGTTTCAGCTCACTGCAGCCTCAACCTCTCCTGGGCTCGGAAGATCCTCCTACCTTAGCCTCCTGAGCCTTCCTGGGACTAGAGGTGTGTGCCACCATGCCTGGCTAATCTTTGTATTTTGTATAGAGGCAAGATTTCACCACGTTGCCCAGGCTGGTCTGATACTCCTGGGCTCAAACTATCCTCCCAGCCTCGGCCTCCCAGGCATCAGCCACTGTGCTCAGCCCCTATTCCATGCTTTAATCCAGCTCTCTGTTTCCATTTATTCATGGAACTTACCAGAATCACAAGCTAAAGAACGCCAGTGTGACCTGTTGGGGCCCCTGCATCTCCCTCTGTGGCATAGCCAGGGTCTACATTTTCCTTTTCTTCAATTAAAATCACCAGTGACTCATTTTCCTCTTTATGGACACAACCAACTCCCATAGTTCCTAAGCAGATTTACTGTTTATGCTTTGAGCCCCATGTCCACGGGGATTCTAGTACAGCCCGCCCAAGATTACTTTTCCTCTCTAAGGGCCTCAGTCTGTTGGGAGCATCCCGGGGCCTGTACAGGGTGTGCTGAGAGGGCCCAGGTCTGAGCAGCCTCCCCATCACTCAGAATCCTTCATTATCTATTCTACAGCACGTGGCCCTCGGCAGCTCAGGCTCACGGAATTCCAAACGTATCACCTCCACCGGCTGGACAAGCCCTCTCAAGGCAGGCTCTGGGGCCAAGGGAGGGTGTTGTGACAGGTCCTAGCAACCCTGTCATGGTGGGAGGTGGCCTGGCTTCCAGGACAGCGGGGACCTGACAGGCCATGGGTTAAGTGTGGGTTCAAAGTCACAGAAGAATCATGAAGAAGATGTTTTTACACGCCCGACACCTGACCTGGGAGCTGGTTCTTTGCCTACATTAGTCTCTACCACAATCTAAGAGCAGTCTTTCTCCCCATTCTCATATTACAGATGAAGAAACACAGCCCAGGGAGATCAGGTAACTGTCCCAGAGTCCCCAGCAAAGGCCTTGAGCCAGGACGGTTGGGTCCCAAGGCTCCTGCTCCCCCTTCCTTTGCAAGCTACTTCTCACAGACCAATGCTTTGTTTCGTTTTGGATATTTTAACTTTTATTTTGGTAGGATTTCAGACCTATGCAAAGGTTGCAAAAATAGCATCAAGCATTCTCGTATACCTCTCATCCCACTGCCCCAAGTGAAGACTAGAGTATCGACGTTAGCACAACAGATTTCATTCACACTTCATCAACTACTCCGCTGATTTTTTTTTCTGGTAGCCTTCCGTTTAGGGTCTCACCTTAACAAATGGTTTTTGTTTGTTTTTTTTTGAGACAGTGACTTGCTCTGTCACCCAGGCTGGAGTGCAGCCATGCCATCTCGGCTCACTGCAGGCTCCACCTCCCAGGTTCAAGTGATTCTCCTGCCTCAGCCTCCCGAGTAGCTGGGATTATAGGCATGCACCACCACACCCGGCTAATTTTGTATTTTTAGTAGAGATGGGGTTTCACCATGTTGGCCAGGTTAGTCTCAAACTCCTGACCTCAGGTGATCCACCCACCTCAGCCTCCCAAAGTACATTACAGGTGTGAGTCACTGTGCCCAGCCAAAAATGTTTTCAAAATAGGGCACTTACTGGTTTTGGAGGGCAGGTGACACCTAATCTTCAGGGGCCTGCAGGATAATTTCTAAATGGGGCTCACAGTTTATTCCTCCCTCATAGGGAGGCTGTGATTACCTCACAAAGCTCCACTAGGGTCACAACAAGATAGGGAAGGCCAGTGCAGGGCCTGTAGGTATGCTGGGATCCCACAGGCAGAAGCTGTGGCAGGCGCGTGGCAGAACGAGTCTCTAAAGGAAGAGCCAGGAACAGGTGACAGCCTGGTAAGACAGCTGGACCCCAAGGTAGGAAAGAAGAATGTACCACCCATGCTCCTTATCACTGCTTCTTTATATCTCAGCTCAGATACTACCTTCTCCATAAGGCCTCCTCCCTTCCGGGAAGTGATGCTTCTCTCTCCGCCACCCCAGCTCTTACTGCAGAGCACTGTAGGAGCTATTCTGGGGGCCTTCTGCCCTGTGGCCTGTGAAGACAGGGAGAGGGGCTCTGCATGCCTTGGCGGGTGTTGAAAAATTTCGCTTGCCTAGATCACCGAAGAACGGAATGGGTGGTGTGAATGGGTAGAAAGTGAACTGGCTGGAAAGCCAGTGACAAGGTTTGGGTCTGAATCTCTGTTTAAATGCAGGCAGCCTGTCCCCCAGGAAAGCCTGTGTTGGTGAGGGTGGCTGTGGGAGAGCGAGTGAGCTCCTGCCTGGCACCACCCCACCCTGGTAGGTGCAGCTGGGCAGGAGGTTTCTGAGGCAATAGACATGGGGACCGGACGCTGGAGAAAGCCCTTACTGCTGCTGAGTGCCCTGGTCCTGTCCGCCAAGCTGGGTCACTTCCAAAGGTGGGAGGGCTTCCAGGAGAAGCCCATGAGCAAGAAAAACATGAATTCAACGCTCACCTTCTTCATTCAGTCCTACAACAACGCCAGCAACGACACCTACTCATACCGAGTCCAGAAGCTAATCCGAAGTCAGATGCAGGTTCGTACCTTGCTCTCCCCAGGTGTCAGCAGGCCCCATTGTTGCCCATTCAGACATGTGAGGATTCTGGGGTGACTCCCGAGAGAACCGAGCACGTTCTCTGCCAGGCCCCAAGTGGGGAGCAGCTTCACTTGCAGAGGGCCCACTGTAGAATTGCTCAGACCCCAGAACGTCCTTAGCCATACTCCCAAAATGCGTGTCTAAGGACTGGCGTGAACTCTAACTCCATTACACTTAGAAACAAAAATGTTCTCTGAGGATTTAACCCTTTTTCTTTTCTCACGTTACCCAGGCTGGAGGTGCAATGGCATAATCTCAGCTCACTGCAACCTCTGCCTCCCAGGTTCAGGTGATTCTCCCGCCTCAGGCTTCCGATTAGCTGGGATTATAGGCGCACGGCACCACACCTGGCTAGTTTTTGCATCTTTAATAGAAACAGGGTTTCACCATGTTAGCCAGGCTGGTCTCGAACTGTTGACCTCAGGTGACCGCCCACCTCAGCCTCCCAAAGTGCTGAGATTACATACATGACCCACCACGCCCGGCCAGCTCCTCTTCCTCGGGAAGAACTTCCTTTCATTCTGATATCTGACCCTGCCAGAGTGACAGCAAGGATGAAGTTGCCCCCTTTAAAGTTCTCATTTGGTAAAACTCAAATGTTCTCTGTAGGCCTGTAGCCCCCAATATTTTTTCAGTGTCCTGGGTTGTAAAATTCAAGACTGGGTTTTCTGTGTTGTGTGAACTTAAAATTGCACAGAGGATTTATTTTGGGAGTGGAGGGGATGTGAGAGATAGGGTTCAGCAAGATCACCCCGCCTCTGTCTTACACATCAAATTTCTCTGAAATATATCGAGTGAAGGGTCATAGAAGAAAGAAAAGTTGTTTGGGAGCCACTCTTATTGGTCCAACATTTCCTCAAGGCCAGAGAGTAAATTATACAGTCACCCTTGGTGTCCACGAGGAATTGCATCCAGGACCCCTCAGGACGCCCACATCCACGGGTTCTCAAGTTTCTTATGTAAAATGCAGTCGTGTTTCCACATAACCCATGCACCCCTTCCCACACGTGGTCAGTCATCTGCAGAGTAATTTATAATTATACTCATAGTGGTAAATGCTATGAGATCATTATTATACTGTACTGCTGAGGGAATAGTTACAAGAAAACAATGTTCCATAGGCAACCATACATTTTGCTTTTTCCTGAATATTGTGATGCATTGTTTGAATGCAGAGATGTGGAGCTCTGAAGCACGGAGGGCCGGCGGCAGAAGTCAGGGTAGCAATACTTCGTCCTAGTTCAATTAGCTGGGTTTGGGAAAACACAACTGGCTAGGGGAAAGCTCTCTGGCCAGAGAGTAAGGAACCCTGAGAACCCACAGGCAGGAGGGCAGGGTGCGGAGGACGCGTCCGGTAGGTGGAAGTCCTCGTCCCCGTGCAGACGGGCTGGCTCACTGAGGCACTTCCACCACAAGATGGCGATGTTGCCCATTTGGTGCTTTCTCTGCTTTCTGGATTGGTGGAGACCCCAAGGAGGCTTGTCTTGAGAAATCGATCTACTTCCTCTAAGTGAGCTGTTAAAGAATAAGTAAGCACTGGATGTGATTCCCATTGATAAGCAGACAGAGCAGGCGTGCTTCCTGGTCACTGGGTGATCTTGGCATGGGCCTCCGGGCACCCCCACACCCAGAGGATGACTGTGTCTGTCCTGACACCTCACAGAGGGGACAAGAGCACGCTTGGAGGGCTGCCAAGTGTGTCTCAGCGCTTCACACCCAGCTCCCAGTTGAGGCTCTTGGTCAAGTGACATCCAGACTCCCCAGGCCTCAGTTTCTCCCCCTGCGAGGCAGCTCAGAATAGGAGGGACGTGTTTAGCACAGTGCCACCATTTATAACACTTGTAAAAATCCTTGCTGTGATTACGACCACTCCCGTCATTCTCGAGCAGACAGGTCTAATAACGAACAAACAACACTTCTCACACTGGAACGTCAGTTACATTGATGATGGGTGTTTTCGTTTTTTCCTTACATTCTGAGCAGAGTGCAGAAGGTTAGCGTGACCGTGCCTGGACAAACCCCAAATGCCCATGCATGGACGTTCCCTGTGTGCTGGGGTGCTGGGAGCCTGGTACTGCCCTCAGGCCTAGTGCCCCAGCTGCCCTGTCCTGGCATTTGCTAAGGGTGTCATCTTCCTAGGAGCAGTGTGGGGCACTCTCTGCCTCAGTCACCACCCCAGAGACCAGCAAGCCCTCTCATTGGGCTTGACCAGTGACAGGGCAAGGCAGCAGGGGGCCTCCGAGAGCTTCTCCTGCACCGGTGAAGATCGTCTCATCCACACATCTACTCAGGGAATCCAGCTCAGAACCTGACAGGGAACAGTAACCCCCAAACTGTCTGTTAAGAGTCTCCCTTCTGGGTGTAGGACCTCCCTGCACAAGGCTTTCCAGGCTCCACCCCCTGTAGGCTTCATAACCTCATACTTGATCACAAGTGAAAGGGCCATGGGGGGAGCCCTGGTATGTGTTCTCCGCGGCTCGTGTACCCACCACACCCCTTTCCTTCACTTCTGTATACGCTAGGAGGAGACGCATTAATCTTCTCTCTCCTAGGTGAGGAAACTGAGACTCAGGAAAGTGGAGGGACTCCCCCAAGGTGACAGAGTCTGCAGTGGGTAAAGCCAGATATGGTGTCCTGTTGCTCTCCTGACCCCGAATCTGCTTCAGAGTAATGCTGCAGACCCTTTGCTAAAACATTTAATAATCTATAATTATGAAAATATTTAAAGTTTATTTTGTGCATTAAGGGAAATGCATGCTTCCATTTAGCCCACGCAACAACTCCTCCAGGAGGCGCAATTGTGACTTGTGCTTTGTAAGGGAAAAGGCTGAGGGTGCTGAGTCACTTGCTCAGGGTCAGTCAGTAAATGGAAAATGGGTGCCCCAGATCAATTTGATTCCCTTCCGCTAGGTTGGTCAGGAAGGATAGCAGGGAGAGAGGAAGTGGCAGAAGGGACCGGGAGGGTGGGGACAAGATGCTGGCTCTGTTGTATTATGAGGGTCACGTGTGCCAGGCCGGGAGTGGCCTGTGGTGGCCAGGAACCCAGGTTGATGTCACCTCTTCTGTCCTGAGGATGGAAGGGAGGGAGGTAAGAAGCTGCCTGTGGGGCTGCCACGGCAAAGCCAACCTATGACCAGGGGCTTTGGCTGCCGTTGCCCTCCTTCCATCCAGAAGTAGGGAGAAGGCAGCCATGGTTTGGTGGGTAAGCTCTGGGACACCGACTGTGGCTCTGGGGGTTTACGCTCAGTCCCAGCTTCTCCAGGAGGGGTCAGCCACTGGGGCTTGGAGTCCACACTAATGGCACAAATGCTTCTCGCAGCTGACGACAGGAGTGGAGTATATCGTCACTGTGAAGATTGGCCGGACCAAATGCAAGAGGAATGACAGCAGCAGTTCTTCCTGCCCCCTGCAAAGCAAGAAGCTGAGAAAGGTGTGTAGTGGGAGTCCTCCTGAAGGGACTTGGGAAGCAAACATTTCAAAAAGCACTGACTAGAAGCTGGCAGTTTTTCCACTTGTGTGGATTGGGGCCAGCTGGGGCCCAGCCCTGGAGCTCAGCCCTGGGGCTGCCAGCACCTCCTGAGGCACCTGGGGGAAGTAGAGAGGCTTTGTATTTGGGCTGGCACAGCCCTGCACCCAGGCCTCTGGTCGCCTGCACCCTTCTGCAGCCTGGCCCACTCCCTAGACCCTCTGCGTGAAAGCAGTGTTTCCCTTGCCTTGGGGTCCCTCTTCTGTCTTCTCTCTCCCTCTCCAGGTCTCTAAGCATTGTACAATTCCCTCCGTGTTCCCTTTTGTTTCTCCTGGTTCCTTGGTGGCACCGCTTGAAAGCTGGCAGATACAAGTGTCTCCCCCATGCCTGGGGAGGTGTGGAGGAGGGGAGGATGCCATTGTGCCTTGCTGGCCTGCATGGCCCGAATCGCAGGGTCCTGCCAGGCCGCAGGTTCCGGGTGCCTCTGCTGTGGCTCCCAAGTGGCTGGGTAGGGGGAAGACAGGGTGACATTCCTGTTCCTGGCCAGCCCTCCCCTCTGCTTCTATCCTTGACTGTGGGCAGCTCGCCTGTCTGCTCATGGGGTTCGTGAGCAGCCACAGGGACAGACCCGAGGAGCAGGCGCCTGCTGCTCCCCTTTGAGAAATACTCCCTCCAAAGTCTGTTTTCTTTCTTCTTCTGCAGAGTTTAATTTGCGAGTCTTTGATCTACACCGTGCCCTGGATAAACTATTTCCAGCTCTGGAACAATTCCTGTGTGGAGGCCTGAGCATGCGGGCAGAGACCTTGGATGAGGGCCCAGACGACTGGCTTGTGTACTGGCTCTTATTAAACTGTAAAGGACCCTAATCTCGCTGTTGGGGTCTCATTACACAGGCACATACACACACGCGTACACAAGCACACGTGCACACACACACGCTTACCTTCACAACCTACACACACACAATGCTCTCACGACACCCTCCCACACTCACCACTCACACACATGCACACCCACTTTAACGTTCACCCACCTGCCCACGCACCCACACATGTCACACACATGCACACTCACTGGCACACACACACAATGCTCACACGACACCCTCCCACGCTCACCACTCACACACATGCACACCCACTTTAACGCTCACCCACCTGCCCACGCACCCACTCACACGTCATACACATGCACACTCACACATGTCACACACATTCAGTGGCCTTCGAGGACTGGTGCAATCTTTTCTTCTTTTCTTTTCTTTTTTTTTTTTGAGACAGAATCTCACTCTGTTGCCCAGGCTGCAGAGCAGTAGTGCGATCACAGCTCACTGAATCACAGCTCGACTTCCCGGGCTCAAGTGATCCTCCCACCTAAGCCTCCCGAGTAGCTGGGATTACAGGCACACACCGCTATGTCCAGCTAACTTTTTTTTTTTTTTTTTTTTGAGACAGAGTCTCACTCTGTCGCCAGGCTGGAGTACAGTTGTGCGATCCTGGCTCACTGCAACTTCCGTTTTCCAGTTTCAAGCAATTCTCCTGCTTCAGCCTCCCGAGTAGCTGGGATTACAGGTATGCACCACCGTGCCCAGCTAATTTTTTGTACTTTTAGTAGAGACAGGGTTTCACTATATTGGCCAGGGTGGTCTCGATCCCTTGACTTCGTGATCCACCCACCTCGGCCTCCCAAAGTGCTGGGATTACAGGCGTCAGCCACCGTGCCGGGCCCCAGCTAACTTTTTTAAACACTTTTTTCATAGAGACAACATCTTATGTTGCCTGGGCTGGTCACGGATGCCTGGGCCTCAGTGATCGTCCTGTCTCAGTCTCACAAAGTGCTGGGGATTCCAGGCGTGAGCCACCGCTCCCACCCAGCTGGTGCAATCCAGATAGAATGTCGATGATCTTTGGGGAAACATCATTCTTTCGCCGTCACCCCACCTCTCTATGGCTTTTCTGAATTTAGCATGTCCCTGAGCTTTGACCTAGCGTGGGGAGCCCTATTTCTTCCCAGCACACACACAACACTGTGACTCACACACATTTTTGTGAGTGTGTCTGAGATTCCCAAGACAAAATGCACACGGAGTGACTCACTAGAGGACTCACAGGACTCAGCCTGGAGTCATTCCCACGGCTCTGATATGACAGCAATGGGACACAGGGTGAAACCAGCAAAGGCAAAAGGTGCATGGGGCCAGGTCCAGAGAAAACCAGGCGGGAGCTTCCGAAGTCCTCTCCCAGTGCGGTCACACAGAGCACGCTCAGTGCCCCCAGAAGTGAGCTGTGACAGTATGTCTCACAAGGCAGCTCATTAAGACTCGGCAGCCAGGGTTTTTATTGGCGGCTGGTCACGAAGGCAGCCTCTGCCTGGCACATGCTGAAATTCCAGATTCCCAGAGGAGAGCAGGGGTTCAACAACCTCACTGCTATACAGACAGTGTAGAGACACTGAGGATCTCTTACATGTAGGAAATGTTTTCCATCACTGTAGGGAGCTGTTGACCATCCAGGTTCCTAAACTCCAGCCATGGCCAGGATTGCAAGCAGCCTTTCTAAGGATGGCACTTCAGGTGGGCTGTGTGAGCTCTTTTCTGCACACTAAGTCATTGAGCCTCCCATGTTCACGTGACTGGCAAAACAAGACCTATGCTTTCTCCCCTTCTCTGGTTGTTAGTTGATTAGAGAAGGTGCATCTACAGGGCGTGGTGCCTCACGCCTGTAATCCCAGCACTTTGGGCGGCCAAGGCGGGCAGATCATGAGGTCGGGAGTTTGAGACCAGCCTAGCCAACACAGTGAAACCTCATCTCTACTAATAAAACAAAAAAATTAGCTGGGTATGGTGGCAGGTGCCTGTAATCCCAGCTACTCAGGAGGCTGAGGCAGAAGAATTGCTTGAACCCAGGAGGTGGAGGTTGCAGTGAGCCAAGATCACACCATTGTACTCCAGCCCAGGCGACAGAGTGAGAGATTCCGTCACACATACACACAGAGGGAAGGTGCATGCTAGACCAGAAATGGGGCACAGATAACGGCTGACAGTGTACCCAGTGTACCACTTGACCATTCGGCCTCTTCCCGGGCACCAGTGCCACCAGTGGGTCATAATGGCAACTTCAGGGAGTATTGATTGCTGAAGGGAAGAATAAACACAGAGCAAGAACCTCAAACCTGCCAGCAAGGCCTGAGGGAGCGGAGAAGCTGAAGACAGTTAGAGGAGGTGAAATTCCTGTACAAAAACCCAACACAACTTCCCCGCAAACATCACAGAAACAAAAAGGCCAGAAAGCACTCCGTCCTGCAAATCTAAGCGAACTGAGGGGTGACCGGGTGACCAACAGTGGCCTGCTGCCCACACTGCCCCATTCGATCGTCGTGACCACCCTACGAAGTGGCAACTTTTCCTCCACTTTGTAGATGAAGAGCCTCCAAAGCCAGCCTCCGTCCAGAGTCTAACCTCCTAGCGTCACACAGCTTGTAGGTGGCATTTTTAGAAACGGAACCATGCAGTCTGTGTTCCTTTGTTTCTGGCTTCTTGCCTTCAATACATCTGTGTTGTCGTGTGCAGTCATAGTTCACTTTCATGATTGTATAGAATTCCATTGTGTAAATATACCACAGTTTACCTGTTGTACGGATAATGTACTTTTGGGTAGTTTTTAGCTTCTAAGAACAATGGCTGCTAACAAGAATGTGTGTATTTGTCTAATGGCGGACACATGCATATATTTTGTTTCTGTTCTTTTCTTCTTTTTGAGACATAGTTTGGCTCTTGTTGCCCAAGCTGGAGTGCAGTGGTGCAATCTTGGCTCACTGCAGCCTCCATCTCCTGGGTTCATGCTATTCTCCTGCCTCAGCCTCCTGAGTAGCTGGGATTACAGGCACTCACCACCATGCCCAGCTAATATTTTGTATTTTTAGTAGAGATGGGGTTTCACCATGTTGTCCAGGCTGGTCTCGAACTCTTGACCTCATGTGATGCACCCACCTTGACCTTCCAAAGTGCTGGGATTACAGGTGTGAGTCACTGTGCCTGGACACACACGTGTGTTTCTCTTGGACATATGCCTAAGAGTTAGTGGGTAATAGGATGTGCCTATGTTCAGCCTTTAGCTAATTTTTGCTCAAGACTTTCAAACATTGTTTGGTTTTTTTACCTAATTTGCTTTTCTAATGTTACTTACATATTGATTTAAATCTTGTTTAACCCCGAAGTTCTTACTTTTTAATATCTTCTATTTAAATGGTCTAATTGTTCTATTTCTACCTTTTTTTTTTTTTTTTACTTTCCAACTTTAGACAGTCACCTCTTATTGTTTTTGTTATTATTATTTTATTTCAATAGGTTTCGAGGGAGCAGGTGCCATTTGGTTGCATGGATAAATTCTTTGGTGGTGATTTCTGAGATTTTGGGGCATCCCCTCACCTGAGCAGTGCACACTGTACCCAATGTGTGTCTCTATCTTTTTAAACACAATTTCATCGACACTCTGTTCTTTTTATAATGTTTGACTAAACTTTATGGTGTTACTTTGAATTTTTTAAACCGAGCTCTCCCACCCCACCCCCACCCACCTTGCTTTCATAACTGGCAAACAAGAAGGGTCGGCCTGAGCCAGCATCGGGACAGGGGTGGGCACCCAGGCCCTGGCTGAGTAGAGGGAGGCAGCCCAGCAGAGCCCTCTGGCGATGGAGCAGGGCCAGCTGTTGAGTGTGGTGCTGCTTACACAATTGTTCACATGTGACTACATGGCACGTGGACACACACATGTGCACACACACAGAGTACCAGTGCTGGCTTCCTGGTTGTGATATTTCTCTGTCATGATAAGATGTAACCATTAGGGGAAACTAGAGGAAGGACACGGGGGATTTCTCGGTACCACCTTGGAATTTCCTGTGAATATATATTAATTTTTTAAAAAAACTTCAAAGGAAGCCCCCACAATATTGGCTGAGAAATCCAGGAGATTAATGGCACAAATGTTCCACCTTCGCGTTTTCATCTCCCCAAGAATAACCGTGACTGCCCTAGGGGCACCGCAGCCAAAACCATCAGAAAAGCGTTGAATGTTGACTGGTATTAAACTGTCACCACCGCCACTCCCAGCATTGCTGCTAATGGTTGATATTTATTTGAATGCCTGCTTCGTGCTAGGCACTGTGGTAAGCAGTTTATATGCATGAACATCATCAGTCTTTACAGCTGCCTCAGGGAGCAGGTGCTGTTTTTCTCAGTTAAAGGTGAAGACATTGCAGGTTAGCATCACCCCCGGAGGCTGGCAGAGGGAAACCCCACCTGGGCCTCGCCTGAAACAAGACGCTCCAGCACTTCAGGAAGGAGAGTAAAAGCCAAAAAAAAATACGATTTATTGTTTCAAAGTCACACCACCTCGGGGAGAGTGGGCGTGGCTGCCGTGCATCTCGGCTCACAGTTCACACACGAAAGAGCTCTCCTGTCGGTGCTCTGCCTAGAGATCTCTCAGGTCTCATACTTTCTGTGCGTGCCAGCTCGGCTTCCAGATGCCAGCCTCTGTACCCCTTTATCTGTGCACCGTCTCTGTTGCTTACTCTGCCCTGGAGCTGACACAGGCCAGCAGTACTAGAGAATCCCTGTCCCCTCAGAGCCAACACTGACTGGAACTTTTGGATAACTGCCCCAACTCCCTCTCCCCACAGAGAGATGGATGGTGTGTGTGTGTGGTGTGTGGTGTGGTGTGTGTGTGTGTGTGTGTGTGTGTGTGTGTGGTGTGTGGTGTGTGTGTGTGTGTGTGTGGTGTGTGTGTGGTGTGTGTGATGTGTGTGATGTGTGTGTGGTGTGTGTGTGGTGTGTGTGTGTGGTGTGTGTGGGGGGGTGTGTGTGGTGTGTGTGGGGGGATGTGTGGTGTGTGTGGGGGGGGTGTGTGGTGTGTGTGTGGGGGGATGTGTGGTGTGTGTGGTGTGTGTGTGGGGTGTGGTGTGTGTGGGGGGTGTGTGGTGTGTGTGGGGGGAATGTGTGGTGTGTGTGTGGTGTGTGGTGTGTGTGGGGGGTATGTGTGGTGTGTGTGTGTGTGGTGTGTGTGGTGTGTGTGTGTGGTGTGTGTGTGGTGTGTGTGTGGTGTGTGTGTGTAGTGTGTGGTGTGTGGGGTGTGTGGTGTGTGTGGGGTGTGGTGTGTGTGTGTGGTGTGTCGTGTGTGTGGTGTGTGGTGTGTGTGGTGTGTGTGTGGGGGATGTGTGGTGTGGGGTGTGTGTGGTGTGTGTAGGGGGTGTGGTGTGTAGGTGGTGTGTGTGGTATGTGTGGTGTGTGTGGTGTGTGCGTGTGTGGTGTGTGGTGTGTGGCGTGTGGTGTGTGTGTGTGTGTGTGTGTGTTGGCTATGGTGTCCCTAGAAGACCTCTCCCGTGTTATTAAACCCAGGGCTTTTGTTTGAGCTCCTGGGAACAAGACGTCCTCCCTTTCTTACTGGATGTGAATGAGGACACACCTGATCCATTGAGCTGCTGGCAGCCTCCCTGAGACTACGTGGAGGAAGAAGAAGAGTGGGGTGAGCCTGGCAACATCATTTAAGATCTTGAATCAGGCTGTGGAGTTGGGGGGCTACTTCCTCCCATGGTTGCTGTGCCCCCTTCGAGAGAAAGCCCCCTGAACAGAGCACTCCTGGCTTCTCCCTGTCCTCGGGATTTCCTCTTCTGCTGGGATTAATCTGGCTGGTCTGCTTGGGAAGAATGAACTGGGCATTGTCACCAGGTCTGCCTCCTTCACACGGGGCACATATTTTCCTTTGCTCCCCCAGGAGAGGAACTTGTTCATGGACAGACCTGGTTTGGTCCAGTGTGGCTCGTGCGAGGGGCAGGAGTCTGCTTCTAGAGTTTGCAGTTAGAAAGTGCACTTGCCTGCAGAAATAAAGCACGTCTCTCAACCTGGTGATTGTATCAGCAGCAAAGGCCTTGTCTTTCTTAGTTCTTTGTATGATTTCTTCTTGTTTCACCCTTTAGGGAAGGAAAGGGTGATCTTCATTGGGCCCCTCAGTGGAGCCATCCCAGGCCCTACTTGCAAATATCTCTTGGCTGTTCAGTTGCCTTGGGCTTCTTCCCTCTCCCTATTCTGTTTCTCATTTTCTCCGTACTATTTTAAAATCTAAAGAGTCTTAAAATCTTACCTGATATGATCATGAAATTGAAGTTCTGCTATCATGAAGATAGAGGCGATGAGGCCAGAAATGACTCAGGTCACCTCATGTGGACCCTAAAACCACCCCAGCCCAGCAGACCTCCAGATTATTACTATGAGCTGAAGAATTTGGATAAAAGGATAAAGAAACAAAAGTGGAATCACAATCTTGAGAGAATATGTTGACGAACATTTATTGCCTATGTTAAGGATTGTTGCTCATGGCAGGATTCTCTCACATGCAGTGGCCTCGGGCGTGTGCTCCAGGACACCTAGTCACTGCTGCAGCTTCTGTTCAAAAGTTTGTACTGTTCAACCCAGGGGATAGCAAACACAGAGAAGGAGCAGTTGACTTTCTGAAACGAGAAACAAAGGCCACATTTTAAAAGATGCAAGGCGAGATTTAAGAGGAGAAGGAAGAGAGCATAAAACGTGAAGATGGAGAAAAGGTCACCGTCTCTCCACCCTACAATCCTATCCGACCACAAATAGAAGGACCTTTTCTGGAATGATCCCAGCAATGTAACTTTCAAGTGACTGAAATAAAAATAAATATCAAACCAGATATTTAGAAAGAAAGAGTCTGCGCAGCCCGTAGCCACCATGGGTACTGTGGATCCAAGTGTCTGCACAGCCCGTACTCACCATGGGTACTGTGGATTCTTTTCCCCTCTCGTCTGTACTCATTTTTTTAACTTCCCTTCTTCCCTTACTTGACCTCTCTTGGCTCCATTTATTGATCCATCCATTCTTCCAATCATCTATCTATTCCTCCGTTCATCTACTCATATGTCCATGCATCCATTTGTCCACCCATTTATCCTTCTATCCATCCACGCATGCATCCATTTACCCATCCGTCCACGCATCCACCCATCCATCCATCCATCCATCCATCCATCCATCCACCCATCCATCCACCCATCCACCCATCCATCCACCCACCCACCCATCCATCCATCCATCCACCCACCCATCCACCCACCCACCATCCATCCATCCATCCATCCACCCACCCATCCACCCATCCATCCATCCATCCACCCACCCATCTACCCATCCATCCATCCATCCACCCTTCCACCCACCCACCCATCCACCCATCCACCCATCCATCCACCCACCCACCATCCATCCATCCATCCATCCATCCATCCACCCATCCATCCATTCACCCATCCATCCATCCATCCATCCGCCCACCCACCCGCCCACCCATCCGCCCATCCACCCATCCATCCATCCATCCATCCATCCATCCATCCATCCTTCCATCCTTCCACTCACGCCTCATCCAGCTCAATTCACTCTTCCGTTCATTCCTCCTTCCATCCATCCATCCATCCATCCATCCATCCATCCATCCATCCTTCCACTCACGCCTCGTCCAGCTCCATTCACTCTTCTGTTCATTCCTCCTTCCATCCACCCATCCATCTTTACTTCCTGGCGTTGCTTCCTCTCACTCAGTCCATGTACCTTTGCTTCATTTCCTTATCCATCTGTCCATCACATCATCTCTCTCCTTCACTTATCTCTATTTCTCCCCAAATTTCTCTTTTCTTTGTTGCTTTTCTCCCATAATAAAAATATACTTTAAACATACTTTGCCTGTTATTATTCATAATTCCTTAGTGTAATTTTGTTTTCCTGCTCTTCATTTGAAAGCCTGGGGTGGGGGTGCTAGGCTTTAGTGTTTACTTTTAACATAAAATTCAGAATACTCATTCCGCTAATTCAGTCTCTCAAGCCAAACATTGTCTTTCATTTTACTTTTCTGTTATCTTCAGTTATTCTTTTTGCAGATTTCACAGTCTTCACCAGGAAAAAACAAAAAGTCTAGGTTGTTAGAGCTTGAAGAATTATACATGTAGAAAGCACAGAGGGAGCCCAGGGCGGGACACATTTCTGTATTGAGAACACCCAGGCCATTATAACTAGGATGACCATATAATTTATCAACCAAATGGGGACACATTTGTAAACAACAGGGGGTGCTCAGTGACTGCACTGAGAAGTCAGGCATGGACCAGGGTCATGTGAGGCAGAGTGGGACATCCAGGCATCCTTGTGTCCATTCATTTGGGTAAAGTCAAGAGATCTGTGAGGAGTGTAGGATTGGCAATCTTCAAGGCCGCTTTGGATGCAGGGGCCACTCTGCCTATGCACGCTGCGGTGGCGGAGGTGTGGGTTGGGGTCTGCTTACCATCCCACGGATGGGCTGGTGCAGGGTGGGAAGAAAGCCTGTGGGAGCTGGAGCTGCCTTCGGGGACAGTGGCTTCTCAGCAGAGCACATGCGTGCAATCTGTCCCCCTCACTCACCCCCACCCACCCGTCGGATCATTTCTGAACTTGTTTCCTCATCCTCTCCTACTGGATGAAA